ATTTTGGCATTTTTTTAGATTCTGGAATTTAAAAAAAAAAAGATAAAAAATATCTTTTTAGATAATAGATTGAAGACCTTAATTTTAAGAAATGTTATCTAGGAAAAATATATAAAGCAAGTATTCAAAGAGTTTTTTTTTTTATATGTCTTAAAATTGCCTGATCTTTAAGGGGCTCACACTAAAGAAATGTTGGGAAAACTGCTGCACTATCATGAGTCTAAGGCGTTCTGTCTGCTGTCAGCCTTTAGGTGGCAGTGCTGATGTTGAAAGCTGAATATCAACCATCAGGACTCTGTAGTGCATTTGTTCCCCCTTTCATTTCCCTATTAACTCCAGTGCATCTCACACTACCATCTCTTCCGATACTATTCATTACATTAATCATCATGGTATTAAGCTCATGTGGTGCTGTAGTGTTGTCGCCATGGTAGCAACCTCTGATGCCCTCTTCAGAAGCTAATCAGCGTGCCTATGAAGTAGGAAATTAATTTACACTTTTCCCACAAATAGTGAATTCATTCACAGGCATTATGTCAGTGTGTGTGTGTGTGTGCGCGCGCGCGCGCGCACACGCACGCACGCACGCACGCGTGCACTTGTGTGTGCATGTGCATGTGTGTGTGCACAGATGATCTCCAGACTATGGGTGTAATTGGACAGGCTCACACGGCACGACTAAGAGAGTATAAATCTACAGCAGTGGTGGTTAATGACATTCTGGACAGATAGTGCTCTATCTCTGGCTCACAGATGTGCATAAGAAGCTTTTACTGTGGTTTTTGAGTGTGTGTGCATGTGTGTGTGCAGCATCCCCAAGCAAGATTTCTCTGCTGGAGATCATTTTGCGACAGTGAAATGACCACAAATGCTTTTATTAAGTTTCTCTTATGAAAATACGAGAGGGAAGTCTCTGCACCGGGTAGTAAATGTTTAATTATTTCCTGTGAATGAGGATATTTTTATAGGCTGGGTAAAGGCATCTGGTGTAATAATCCACGCAGGCTGAGCGGGCTGCACAGGTTGAAAGACTGGCCATGAAATCTGTAAATCTCCCTCTGTCCTGTGCCTAGAGGTGAGGGTGATATTTGCAAAAAAAAAATCATGAAATAAAAAAAAATAAAAAAAATGACGAGCTCTTTATTCGTTATGTCAGAACGAGAGGAGTGAACAATGAAGTGAGTAATTCTCCCTGGATCTGTGTCTTTCTGACCTCGCTTTTGAGGCAAAGCTCAGAGTTGTTGGAAAGAATTGGATTTAGCAGATACATGTGGTGGCCATTACCCACATGCTACTAGACATGTGTAGCCTGTAAAAAAAGTGTGTTAGAAACCAGGACTCTTAGCTGCTAAACGGATGAGTGGTATGGCACCTTTGACCCAAAAATGGAGCTGTTTATCTCTCGTTTATGATTCCTGCTCCTCCAGCACTTTGAATCTTGTCCTCCAAGAATTTACAGTTGCAGAGTCACATCTGTACGGGTTTAATTGTGACCATTTGTGTTCTTATGACCTTTGAACCCCGTGAAGCTTCCCTAAAACCTATACTTATGGAATCCATCATTCCTGTTGTTTCTCTGTTTCTCATCTCTTCCCCGATTCCTGATTTCACAGACTTCCTGACTTTTTCCAACGTGGCTCTTCAGAACTGTTTTTCTGCTGTTTATTTCTGCTTCCTGTGTCTGTTTGATTATTTATGTGTTGGTGCCACAAACCCACATGAGCCTAACAAGTGACGACAACTTCCTTTCACAGACACAAGATCTCAAAAAGCATCTCTACTCTCTCGTCCTTGATTTATCTGTATTTCTCGATGTGAATTTGAGATTTGAGAAGTGTGAGATGGGGCATTTTTTTGGGGGGGTGACTGTGGCTGATGAGGCAAGACAGATTGTCCACTTATTTAAGGGTTGGCGGTTCAATCCCTGGCTCCTCCTGACCACCTGTCTAAGTGTCAATGAGCAAGATTCACTGAACCAAATTGCTCCTGTAGGTCAGACCAGCACCTTTCATGGTAGCTCACTTCCATGGTTTTCATCCTATAGCAACAACATGTGGGTATATTAAAAGAATACAAAGGTGTTTGCACATGCACCTGTCCCTGAAAGTCAGTGAGTCGTTACTGTGTCAAAACTGTGTGGGTGTGTGCCTTCATCTGCGCATGCAAACACAAAACCAAAGTCCAAATCCAAGAATGTGTGACAGCCTACATTCCTCCATCATGCTGCATCTGTCAGAGCGTGTCAGCGGAGAACACAAATTTGAGATTTTCCACATCAGCTGACATCATCACATAAATAGAATCAAAGTCAATGCACACTGATTACCATGGTGATGTTGTTATGGCGACCAATCAAAGGGAGAGGTGAGCTGATGGGTGGCTGTGTGTTCAGACTCTCTGCTCCCCAAAATGCGCAGTGGAGAGGGAGCTGGAAACGAGCTGAGAGGTGGATTATTGCCTGGAGGTGACTGCAGACAAAATGTTAAGAGTGTGTTTATCACCCCTGCTTGAAGACTTGAGCTGTTTAGTCTCAGCTCAGCTTATTATGAGATTAAAACGTGTTTAAAAAAAAAAAAAAACACTTCCCATAACATTTGTATGCCTTCTTATGTTTAGCTGTATCACCTCCCTATATACTTAAGTCAATTATCTCCTTTAAAAGGCTTTAATTTCATAATGGAGCCTGTTGAGCTTGGCTGTCCATATTCAAGGCCCAGCTGGGGTCACAAGATTCCTTTCCAGCATGCAATTAAACAGGTTGCCAGCGACAAACAGAGCCGAGAGCCTCAGTGTTGGTCCACTTAACATAATATTACATACCTCAGTTGCCATGACAGCCACAGTGTTTGTCTGTGAGTCTGTGATGCTAAACGGCTGCAGGTGTAAAGTGATGCATTGAACTATTATTTGAGTGCTCCTTTGAGCAGAAACCTGAGAGCAGACACTGTGTAAAACAGGACTGACATTAACATATCATCTCCATTGAGACACGTGAGCTTTCTGCTGAGTGTACAGTTGTGCTTAAGCGGTGACATCTGCAGAGTAGGAGGCAGATCATGTTTTAGTCAGTGAATGGTGGCTTTTTCAGTCATATTAGCATAATGAAGCAATGTACCCAAAGCAATAATACTTGACTTTTGCCTGGTTTTTATGTAGCTGCCCTGACCACAAATCCACTGACCTAGAAATATTTAACAGCTGACCCAACATCTTACCAATCAGAACCAAGCTTCACACCACACCACCACTTCAATGGTGATTTCTTACCTTGGCACAGCTCTTACACTTGACGACAGAAGGCATCTGGCTGAAACTAGAATATGAAACCCTGAGCTTCCAAACTGTGTGTGTGTGTGTGACTCTTGCAGAAACTTCTCAGCTGCTCCTTCCAAAGGACGGAGGGGGAAAAAAAAAAATAAGGCAATAATACCACCCAGCCCCTAAAAATGCTCTGCTCTTTCTCAGAGAAACACAAAACGTCTGGCAATACAGTAAGTGACAAAATGGGCGTTAAATTGGGTTTATGAGTAGATATTTCCATGTGTGTATTTTTCTCCTCCTTCTCAGCTTTTGTTCCATGCAGTGTGTGGATGGAGGTACAGTCCAGATAAAATGGCTCAGCCAGGAGATGTGCCTTGAGCATGCCTATGCTCTGGTTATTTACATAGGTGCACTTCACATATGCTGTTTTTACTCCAGTGAGTCATTTCCCTGATTGACCCTGAGCGGAGCCTGTCTGCAAGCCAGGCTTTGTGCTATTTCATTTCACTTTTTGTTATGCAGGTCTTTGTAGTGAGGTCTCTGCTTTCTAATCAGAAATGTTTCAATTTCATGTGCATCACTAATAAAAAGGCTTGTTAGTTCAAGCACAAGAGCACACAGGGGCTGTGTGCGTGCATGCGTGCGTGCGTGCGTGCGTGCGTGCGTGTGTGTGTGCATGCATCTTTTCTTTTTTGTTTTGTTTTTTTTTGAGGATAACAGTTGTTGAATTGACAGCCTTCCTGAGCCAATTCTCTCTGGAGTTTGGTGTTGTGGGAAAACACATGTTGTTGTCCACTTTGCTGACATAGAGTGGGAAAACATGCTTGGGCTTGAGGACAAGAAAGTTGAACCGAGGTCACTCTGCCAACTGAAATGTGTGTGCTAGAATGCAAAGACATGTGTGAACATACCTTTTTAAGTGTGAGTGAGTGGATGCATAAATGCATAAACCTGCATTAAAAAGCCTGTGTAGCCTACATTCACGCCTGATGTTTTTTGGCTGTGTTGTGTTGTAGTTTCCTCTCTACGCAGTGTAAGCTCCGGGATGCATCTAAAAATACCATGGGCCCGAGAGGAAAAGGAGTGAGGATGGAAACCAGTTACAGAAGCGTACGAGGAACACAAGGCTCCCTCCAAAAGACAGCAGCCGAGGAGGGGAAGCCTGCACACGGGAAGTCACACTGTGACCTGGAGGGGAAGGATTTCCCCTCAATCTTTCTCAGGAGCAGTTTTATTTTTCATACACCTGAAGCTGAAAATAAGTTACTCTGATAAAGATGAGACTCCCTTGCTTCTGTTTGGCAGTGTTATATCAAGTTACACTGTGCTGTATGAAACCCAAATGTGCCTCTCCCTGTGTGTGTGTGTGTGTGTGTGTGTGTGTGTGTGTGTGTGTGTGTGTGTGTGTGTGTGTGTGTGTGTGTGTGTGTGTGCTGGTATTGAGGGCTTCACTAATCCAGGGTGGTACTGTACATTCATCAAGTTAATTTCCGTCTATTTAGGCTCCTGAATCAAAAACAGATTCCTGCGAGATGTAGATACACTCAGAGGTGGACTTGTACACGAATCGTGAGGAGATGAGGAAGAAGAGCAGCAGGAGGAGGAGGAGGAGGAGGAGGGGGGCGGGGTGGTGAGGAGGAGGAGGAGGAGGAGGAGGGAATCCAGATGGGAAAGAGCAGCGTCGGCGCCGCAGGAGAGAGGTAGAGAGGAAAGACAGGCTGTGGAGGAGAAGACGCAGAGTCTGCCTGGGGATGAAAGATACTTTGATCAAACACTGAACAATCGGATTTCACTTGGTGCCGCCATGTATTTTGGTATGTAAACGGTGTGTTATGCTTTTTAATCTCAAAGAGTTTTTTTTTTTTTTGGTTGTTGTTGATAACGCAGCGGAGTCACTTGTTGCTATGTTGAAATGGATGTGAGCTTATTGAAGTCAGTCACCTGCACAGCGGAACAGACAGAGCCGGCGAGAGAAAGCAGCTTACTCAGTGCATCTTTTACAATATGAAGCCTGGATCATATTTGTTTTAGTTTGATCCTCGTGAAAAATAACAGACGGGGGAATTATTCAGTAGCAGAGAGTTGATGTAGAAATGTAATATCAGAAAAGATCGCCAACGCTAGAGAAAGAAAATATACTTTACTAAGAATTATTATACATATTTATACTGTTGAATAAAGGGTCATAAACTGTAGGCGAAACACAAATTATTATTTGATAGATAAATGGAAGTTGTGGAAATCACAAGTAATGCTGATAAACGGCTTTTATTTAAAAAAAAAAGTGACTGACCATCTAAGATCGTGTGTGTGTGTGTGTGTGTGTGTGTGTGTGTGTGTGTACTCACCTCTTCCACGTGTCTCTTGAATCTATAATTCTTTCAAGTCATTTCTTGCAAATGCAAATATTCAGGTCACACACACACGCACGCACACGCACGCACACACATGACTTGCTAGTTAAGGGCAATCAGACTAATGGCAGAGCGGATGGGTGTGTTTTGATTTTGATTATGATGATTACGCACGCGGGCTGGTCCTGAATCAAACTGTAATCAGGCTCGGAGAACATGCAAACTATAGAAAACAAGCTTCACAATCAGGACTCAGCAACACAAACAAGACGCTTATCGCACAGCACTTTCAGTAATGGCCACAGAACCATGTGTGTGCATCAGGTTGCAAGTGTGTGAGTGTACATGTTTGTGTGGACGTGTATTAACATGTTTTGCATGTGTGTTTAATTTTGATATAATAATGGGTTTTGTGAAGTGTGTGTGTGTGTGTGTGTGTGTGTGTGTGTGTGTGTGTGTGTGTGTGTGTGTGTGTGTGTATATGTGTGTACATGCACCCTGCCCATACCTGTAGCTCTAATTTGGCACCTGTGCAGATTATTTGATTAACCTTCAGTTTCTCCGTGTGTGTGTGTGTGTGTGTGTGTGTGTGTGTGTGTGTGTGTGTGTGTGTGTGTGTGTGTGTGTGTGTGTGTAAGCACACCCCTGAGTACACCAGAGACTATCTGAAGGTCCTTAACAGGTCATTCTCATTCTGAGTTTGAGAGCTGCAATGATTAATCATTAGAATCAGTGAGTCAATATTTGACTAATGATTGTTAATCAAAAGTTCCAAAAGATTTAATGGTTCAAGTTTATCTAGTGTGAATATTTCCTGGTTCTTTAAATGAACTATGACAATAAACTGCATGTCTGGACTTTGGGCTCTTTGTCAGACAAAATAAGACATTTCTGGGAATTTATAATACACACTTTTGTAGTATTTTGTGTTTGTTCTTATCGACAGAATGATTAATTGATACTGAAAGTAATTATTTGTTGTAGCCCTATTGTGTTATGCTTTTAGAAACATGGTGGATGAATCCATACTTTCCTACCCAGTATATTCTTACACTTGCTGTTGGTGCTATTTGTGCATCAGTGTTGGAAAAAGAAGTCTACAGATTCTTTACATAAGTACATCTACATAAAGGTCTACATGTTAAACTGGTGTGTATATTTTATTATAGGATTATTATTCCCGATGGATTTACGCGTAAACAGGATTTAATTGTTTAATCTATAACAATGAGTTAGAGATAAGACACAAGAGAAACACTCAAGGACAAGTACCTCAGCACTCTACTTTACTGTATGGAGTAAGTGTACATGCTTACCTTCTGTGTCTGCTTGTCATACAGATGTCACATTTTATATTACTGCTTATGTGGAAGGTGGGTGTTTCAGACTAACATTAGATAGTGTTGTTTCCTGTGAGTGAAGCTTTACCTTATTTCCGTCACTGCCAGTATGGATTAGTGAATTTTCTTTGTATTAAATTCATGTAGTTAATTCAAGACACGTAATCTTGTTTATTTATAGGGGACAATGCACTTTAATCTAAAACACTGGCTTTCAACAGCATTAATGTAAATGTGCCTGTTAGTTTGACAGCCTGAGACAATTAAAAGCTGACATATAAATAAAAAACATCATACACACAGCAGTGAAGTTGGAAGGTGACGAAAAGAGAGGAAAGACTGAAGGAAATGTATCAGAACTCTTTGCTCTGACAATTTTAAACAAACAATACAATCAATTTTTGAGTACAAAAACTTTGAGCACAGCATGTCTTCGTCTGGTTCTCCCTGAAAAGAAACACCTCATCTCTATTGGGTCATTATTTATCTGTCTACCTGTCTCCTCCCTGCCATGCTGTCTCCTAGGTAATGTGTGTCACAGCGTTGTGCCGCCACTGGCCCGTCCCACGCTGTGCAGGACCCAGCCCTCCCCCGACCCGAAGCCCCTCCTCCCCTTCCACCTGCTGCCTGGATTCACTGATGTGAGTACTGTCAGTCATTGTAGTTGTCATGGCAACCACAATCTCACCCACTGCCTGTTTAAAAAAAAAAAAAAACCCAAATGTTGGTTTTATAGTGGCATTTTCTGCTGCAAGTGGAGGAGTGGTGGAGGACTCTGCCTGCGTGCAGTTATTTTTCAATACACAGATGTATAAGCGCGCTGCCTACATCTTTCCAAATATATCACCTCTGATGCAGAGAGCTGTGACATTTCCACACAACCTGGGGGGTGGAGCCGGTTCCTTGGTATTCCTCACGCAGAGCTTTTCTCAGAGCTGTCTCTGCCCCAGTGCTTGTGAAGGGTGAAGGTGGAGACAACCAAAGCTGGCCAAGTGCAAACCCTGAGGAGAGTCGATGTGTCAGGCGGAGCTGAGGGCTGACGTCTGGTTTTCAGGGGAATTGTGCTGTATGTCTTCATATGCTCCTGGCTGTATGATGTGTGAAATCATTTTTCTGGCCTGAATCAATGTAGTATATGTGATGTAGCCAGACCACACAGCTGAGATGTACACTCACTGACATCACACAACTGTCTCGTACACGTCTTTTTTTGTGTGTGTGTTTGTGTTGAGCACATAAGGCTGTGACTTTTTTTTTTTTTTTGTCCTCACACTTTTGTTAATACCAAACCCAATATGAAGTGAAGAGGCTGCAAACCACTAATAAGCCCATCACTGAGTCTTGCCAAATAGCCACTCTGAAGCAAAACTGACAATTTTCCTTTTGTTCCTCCCTTTTCTTCACTTTGGTCTCATCTCTAATCTGTGATCTGCTCTTAGACGCCTAGAAGAGATATACAGAGAGACAAATTGAGGGTTTAAAAGGAGAGGGTGGCGTGTATATCTGCTGGACTGTTGGTGTGCAGTGTAGTAAATTTGTGTGTGAGGGCTGTATGTGTGTGTAACCTCATTCTCTTTGCCAAAGTAACCACCTGAGGAGAAGTCAGGCATCGGTCCGGGTCTCGGCCCTCTCTCCTTCCCTTTCACCCCGCTCTCCTCTTCTCTCCAGCCATCCCATCCATTTCTTGCATTGCTCTTGCACCGTCGCCCTCTTCACTTCAGCCCTCTCTTTGTATGTATTTTCCACTTAGTCTCCTGCTGTCAGCTTCCCCATCCCTCATCTTCTCTCATGCTTTTCAGCTCCTCATCTCTCCATCCCTTTTCTCCACTGACCCTTCTCCTCCTGCATCACAAATAGTTGAAATAAAAAAAACAAAACAAATCTTGATCAAATTGTTAGTCTCTTGCGCTTTCTCCCGGTGGATGACCTTCGCTCTAAAGTAGAGTGAGCACAGCTTGTTGTTGTTCCATCACCTTCTCCCTGCTGAGTCACATCCACTCTCACCTATTGAAAACTGCTGTCTCTCTCTTTTGTTTCATTTTATTGCGTCTTTGATTAATTTTATATATATATGTACAAGTATATGAGTATATACTGTAAGTCCCCTCTACCTCTGATGGTTATTGTTATTATCAGTTAATCTGCTCATTATTTTCTTGAATAACCTTTTAATCATTTCATGTATAAAATATCTATATATATAGATATATATATATATATCTATATATATACATATATTTGTAATTTCCCAAAGCACAATGTTACTTATTCAAATGTCTTGTTTTACCTTATCAACAGTCCCAAACCCCAAATTACTCTGCACTGGAAAATGGAGAAACTGGAACCAATATATTTTGGGTACGTTTGCTTTAAAAAAAAATGACTGGATTAAATTATTATCAAAATAGTTTATGATTAATTTTCTGTTTGAGTGACTAATTGGTTAATTGATTAATTGTTGTTGTTGTTGTTACATGAATGACACCTTAGAGGTCAGGATCACATGTTCCTTGGTTTCTTTTGGAGTTTTTAAGTATTGTAAGTATTGTTGACTGGAAACTTGTGGTACCATTGAAAATACAAAAAAAAGAAAAAGCATATTATGTCAGCAAACTGAAAAGGATCCCACGGTGTAAAGGGAATCTTCTCCCTCTAATTTGAACCTGTGGGTAAGTGGCCACACAGCTGAACTCTCGCTGCTGCCTGAGTTTTTTTCTGGTGTGTTTATATGTGTGTGTTTTCAAAGTGTGTGTGTGTGTGTGTGTGTGTGTGTGTGTAACCCTGCATCCTCTTGTGAATGTAGATATAATGTGTGTTGGCCTCTGTAAAGAGTTTGTTTGGTGCCCACTTGTGGGTTGTCATGGTTACAGGGTTGCACGCATGTGTGTGTGTGGATGTTTGTCGTGAGCCAGGGATCTAGTGCTGCAAACTGGGACTTCACTGGCTAGTTTGGCACTTTTTTTTTTTTTCTGAAAATGGAAACAAAAAGTGTGTTTGTTTCCAGGCAAATAATAATTTAAATGACAAAGAACCAAAAGCAGCAGCTCATTCATCATAACCCACCCTGTTTTAGGTGCTTGACGTCACGCATTCACACATAGCTCTCACGCTGGTACAAAATGTAAATCCAGGAAGATTCGTCATTATAAATGTTGAGACTCTTGACTGTGCTCCAGGTAAAAGTCTGCTTTACTTCACTCGACCATATGTTTCAGCCATAACTCACTCCCTGGAGCTGAGTATGTCTGACACATCACCACCGCTTTGTGTGAGGAAGTTTCTAGATGGAATGTGCTGATTACAAGTGATGCTCTGTGGTGGATGTCTTTATTTGCTGTACCATCCACTAAAAACATGCTGCTTTCATTGCTTTTAATGGCACAATAAGCAGGGGTTGTTTCAGCAGGTGATGTAGTATGTGTGCGTACAGAACACAGAGAGAATGGCCAGTGAGTAGGAAGGGCGAAATGACTTTGCCACAGGTGCTAGTCCATCGCAGAGTGTGTAGAGTGGGAGAAAGGGGTAAGAGAGTGAGTCTACGGGGAGGCAGAGAGGTGACTTTGATCAGACGGAGGCGAAGGGAGAGGCAGAGGGTTCAGAGGGGAGCAGATGGAGGGGTGAAGGGAGGAATGTGTGATGGGAGGTCAGATGGTGATACAGGAGCCTTGGGGCTGAGGAGGGAGGAGGAGATGAGACAAGCTTTTACTGATCTTAAACGGCTCAGACTCATTCAGACAAACACGAAGCTACGCTCACCTCCTTAGTCATTAATGTGGCCATGTTGTTATTCATGTGTTACATTATACAATCTATACCATACATGTCACGGTTATTCCAAATATCTTAAGAATTTTTTTTTTTTTTTTTTTTTTTTTTTTTATAATTTCATGATTTGCATTTTACACATGTAACACAAAAGTGCTGCATTTGTTTTTATATTTGTCTGTTTGAGTTTCATATGCACAAACAGCTGCAGGGAAACAGAGGGAGATCAGAGACCAATGAGTGAAGACATGCATTCCAGTGCAGCCGCCTGGAGTGATGATCAAAGAAAATGAGCAAGAACGCATGCACACGCGCGCACACACACGCACACACACACACACACACACACACACACACACACACACACACAAACAGAGAGAAAGAGAGAGCCCCTGTTGCATTTTTTACTTTTGAAAGGCAAAGAATTCATCTTTGGCACTAAAGAAACAGGCACTATCTCCAGTGCAGTGCTACATCTTTCCCAGGGCTTACAGAATGAGCTGGCAGACCCATAACAACACATAAATTCTTACGTCACCTCCAGCCACATTTCCATAAAGCCTCCCTGGTTGTGGCTGCTTATATGACTCCCTACATTTCAACACAGGTAATAGGTTTGCTTTGCTCCGCGCAGGCCAGTTGGGTTTTATTACGCTGTGTATATGTGCTCATTAAAACCTCCAGTAGGTAATGTCCAGAGGTGCACAGCGCTGTGTGGTCAGTATTATGTACACAGACACACACATACACATGCAAAGACGTAGGGAGGTTTATTACCTTTTCTTACACTCATAAAGAGAACTAGTCTGCAGGTGGAGAGGTAATTTCATGATTAGTGTTTTTTTTTTTTTCATTGCTCGCAGTACTGGGCAATCAAACACCACAACACAAACAAATGGTTTTAGAAGTACACAGCTTTGTTTTCTCTGGATGGTAATGGTAACTGATCACACCTTGCAAGGAATGTTTCGAAACCCCACCTTCATTTCACGCTGTTCTAGTGGAAAGAGCGTCTGCAGGGTCAGTCTCAGGGAGTCTTCTTAGTACAGGGCTGGGCTAGGAAACACTCACCCCCTGTAGGTTTTAAAGATGACTGTAAAAGGTTTGTAGTTTGTCTGTTATGGAGAGCAGGGGATGTGGTCAAGTTTGTTTCATGGTGGTCCGAACGGATTCGAATAATGACATGTTTTCACTGCAGAAAGACTTTTTCAACTTACATCTGCTACCTCATCTATTTCCCTGCTGTCCATCTGAACCTGCATCTGCTAGTTAGCTACGTTGCTTTTTGTTTCGGAAATGCAGCATCAACCTAGCCAATGACTGAGCTAGAACTGAGGTTCTAACATGGTGCAGTGTCACTTTAACCATGTTATGGTTTAGTCTGGGTCAGGTCATTTCCACAGTCTGAATATCTTCCTGCTGCCTCTAGTAAATGACTGTAAATGTTGCTGTGTGTCCTTGTGCACATGTGTATGTGTAATGTGTGTTGCACCAGCTGTGTGTTTGCTATTGTGTCCATGCACCTGACTGGGTGCCAGATTGACTACTGCCCCATTCAGCTGCTTCTTACAACACCCCACCTCTAACCTGAGATATTATAAATATTTGCTTTTCTGAAAGGAACACCTTTGCTTGCAGACAGCATATCATTTACAGCTTAGGTGACCGCTTTCACTACCTACGCAGTCTTGTCTTTCGCAATCCTAAAGCAGTCATGACCTTAACGTTACGCTTCTGCTTTGCTGCAGATGGATCACGTCCATAAAGCTGTGATTGGCCCAGGCTTCGGGCTCACCTCGCCGCTGAAGAGGAAGCCCAGTTCCTGCGGAGTCTGCCGACTGAGGTTCAACTCTGAAGTGGGTGGTGTCGTGTGGGAAGCACACTTTGAATTGTTTTTCTGTCAGGGTGTTTTTATTTCTCACACACACCCTTGCATGACAGTTGAACGGCTGAGGAGACCTGCCCTTGTATTTGGCTGTTGTACTGGTTCTGAAGGGTTGGAGCTGGGTGAAATGTGCACACCTCTCTATATTTGACCTGTTTAGAACATTATTTTTCCCGTGGCACTTATTACAGAATGATTCATAAGGACTACTGTATCATGTGCTGCACTGCAATACAATATCACCATTCATATTTCAAACAACAATGAATGTCTGAGAAATTGTAGCACAGAAATCACTGTCAGAAAAAATACAAAGAAAAGCAAGAGGCTGTTTTACTTCAATATTTACAATTGCAACTGATGTAAGCAAGCACTTACATCAGGAACATTACAAACTTTGATTGACTTTTTGCCTGGTGTTTGTCTGTGTATTAAAACACCTGTCAATTAATGTGGGAATGAGAGCAGCCTCTAAAACTGTGCTGGAGCTACATTTTGATCACATTCAAGTCAAGTTTTGTCGCTTAAAGTAAAATCATTGTCAGGTTTACATAACTAAATAATTGTGTGCAAGGTGGTTTATACCTTCTTGTTTGCTGTTGTGCACACAGGTGCAGGCTTCCTCCCATTACAGTGGCACCAAACATGCAAAAAGGCTGAAAGCTCTGGACGCCCCAGATTCAAAGATCAGGACCTCTGAACCAGTCGCCAAGGAAACCACATCGCAAATCCTCTCGTCACCCTGCTCACAGCCCTCCAGCTCTGAAACAACATCAGTAGGTGTGTGTCTCTGCAGGCACGCACACTTCCCCTGTGTGTGTGTGTGTGTGTGTGTGTGTGTGTGTGTGTGTGTGTGTGTGTGTGTGTGTGTGTGTGTATGCAGACATCAAATGTATGACAGCGTTAGATATACGAACGCACAGCTCAAACCTTCTTTTCCCAGTCATGACTTTAACTCTTTGATGTGATAAACCTCCTGCTGCTCTGGGTTTTACAGTGAAGAGATTAAAGGTTGAGCATTATCCTCTACTCCTTCTTCATGTCTACATTTACTGACCTCGTTCAGTGGCCTCCTGAGATCAAAAGCACACCGCAAATACTTTGCATATGATCTGTGGGTCGCTGTACAGTACGTGTGCTTGTGCGGGCACCTACAGGACATGTGTGCCTGGAAATCTGTCAGCTCAAGTGTGGAGGTGTGTCAAAGCGTCGACTGCTTTCCAGCGTATATACATGTGCCAGTGCTGATGTGCTACTTCTGCATATGTGTGGGTGTTGAGAAATGAAAATAATACATCTTGCTGTGAGCTAAAGAGCAAGAAGATTGAAGAATTTTTCTGATATGACAACGCTGATATGAGAATTGTTTGTTTGAGAGGAAGAACGAGTGATCACTTCCAGTTCTGAGTTAGTTTGAGGGAAGTGGATGAGACGGCAGGAGCGCTCTCTGAAGATTACTGCAGCAAACAGCCTCGTTGGCCTCTCAGAGTGGGGAATCAATGGTAACAAACAGACACTTTCTCGGCTAGGCAGAGCTAATCATTATTAGCAAAGAGTGAATCCTTAAATCAGCACACACTCCTCCGGGGAACCTCCACAATTCAGTCTCACAAAAGATAATAGAGCCAAATCATCTCTATACAAAACTGTGCGTCTTAGTGCTGGGAGACAGATCCTAGGGGAAATCATTGATTATTAGTGTGATTACAGAGGTTGATAGAGCTCATAATCACCTGTAGCCTGGTGTGTTTTTATCTCTTTCTTCGAGCAAGTCATAAAATTAGTATTTCTGCAAGCTGAAAGAATTCAGGAATTTCATAGAAGTGGAAAAATGTTTGTCCCCCCCCCAATCATCCAACTTCCTCAGATTCCGTCTCCCTCTCTGTCTGCTCTCTTGCTCTCACACTGCTTTCTGCACTCTGTCTTTTTAATGTCATGTCTGTTTTATTCTGGGTTTATTTCAGAACCCTCAGCCCCAAACTCTACCTCCGAGGCGGCACCACTGAGCAGCGGCCCCACTGAAACTGTGAAAGCGCCCTCGGAAACCTCGCTGTCACCCAGCCCGAGGACAACAGAGAAAGAGACACAAAGAGATGGAGACGTGGGGGTTGCTCCCGAGGAGGAGACGGAAGAAGAGAAAGCTATACGTCTTCTCTACTGCTCCCTCTGCAAGGTGGCTGTCAACTCTGCCTCGCAGCTGCAGGCCCACAACAGTGGTGAGAAACTCTACTGTATTGCAGAAGTCAATCCCTCTCCCATTTGTACAGTGTTCATATACTCTGTTGATGTGGCTTTATATCTGCACAGGCACTAAGCACAAGACAATGCTCGAGGCTAGAAGTGGCGATGGGGCCATCAAGTCGTTCCCGAGGACGGGGGTGAAGGCCAAGTTGGCCGTGCCGTCTGAGTCGTCAACTGGACTCCAGAACAAAACTTTCCACTGTGAGATCTGCGATGTGCACGTGAACTCCGAGACTCAGCTCAAACAGGTTTGTTGCTAAGAATGCCAAATGAAAAACAAAGCTTAGGTAGGTTCGTTGTTGTTCTGATAAACACAGAGACGAATTTCACTCTCTATAGTTGTAACATTGTACATTGCGGAAACATTTGAAAGTCTGTGTTGGCTTGTATGTGCATGACACAAAAAAGAACATGAGTAACTCGCTAACTAACCATAGTTGCATTACGGGTCAAGTAGGGTGAGCACTGGGCAGGTGACAGTTTGTTTTTTTTGGGCCTGTAAAGCTATGAAAAGTCAACTGTCACACAAATTTGCCATTCCCTCAGTAAAGCAGGTGATAGGTGTGAACATCTCACACCTGTCGCTTTAAGTGAGTTAAAAATCACAGATCCTTCAACATAATGAGCACAAAGACACTGAGCATAGTCTGTTTCACTGAACACCTGAATATATGATGTTCGCATCTCTGCTCGTGATATGAATGCATAGTGTTGGTCTCCATATCTGAAAGTTAACTTTGGCCAGGTGCTCATGAATATTTAGCAGTTCACTGCTGATTGTGTGTCGCACTGGCCGAAGCCATCTGTTTGCGTTTGTCAATCAAATCAAAAAGATTTCCAAACCCACCCCTCATGAATATGTTGAATCTCAAAGTCAGAGCCAACACGATATCAACATTCTGCCTGAATCCTCAGCATAGGAACTTTGATTAGGCTTCCTTTAATTTCCTCTTCACTGATTATTCAAATTTCCAAGCAAAGGCGACTGTCAGCTTCTTTCTTTGTCTGCTCCGTCTTTATGCTGCTGCCTGCGTCTGTCAGGGCTTATTTATCTGTGAGTTTCTCTATCTGTCCCTCTCCTCCCCTCCAGCACATCAGCAGCAGGAGACACAAGGACAGAGCAGCAGGTAAACCAGCCAAGCCTAAGTTCAGCCCCTACACTCCTACCCAGCGTCACCAGAGTTTCCAGGCAGTGAGTACTCTGCTGCTGCTTGATTTATTTTCACCCTCATCAGTGTGTTTGTGTACATGAGCTGATTCTCTAGAGCCTTTTCCAGGAAGCTCCACTCCCTACTGCCAATGAGACAAATCGTCAGTGATAGGGGTTGAAGAATCTTAAGTCTGAAATGTTTTACTCCCGTGACGCTGAAAGGAAACAAAAGGCATATTACTTTGGAGAAAAGAGCAGATTCTTGATAAGATTGTTTGGTGATAACTGTGCGGCTTATACATCTATTGGCCATCTCCTTGTCCTCCTCTGGTTTCCTACTTAAACTCTTACTTAAGATCCATTTCCTTTTCAGAGAAAAAAAAATCTTGATTGCAGTTTGTTTGCCTGTGTTTCCTCCTCAGATTCGGCTGGCTCTACGGAAGAACCAAGACCTGACCAAACCTCTGGCCTCGTGTCTCCTACAGCGTCAACTTTCCGTTGCTGCTGCTGCTGCTGCCATGGCAACGCTGCCCCCCTTCCCTCTCCGGCCTGCTTCAAACTCGAGCCCTGCCCTGTTTCAGAGTCAGCCCCTCCCCCAGGCGCTGCTGCATCCAGCCCCTGGACCCATCTGTTCAACACACACACCAGTTCTGTTTTCTCCCTACTGACCCCGCCGACGTCTCAATCAGCTCTGAACTACAGCTGAACGCAGACCTGAGACCTGAACAAGATGTGATATAAGACAGGCTTGCTGTACTCCACATGCCAACAGATACTGTGGGTGTCATGGACCAAGACTGAAGACTGTTTGCTGGGGCCAGAACCATACGACAGGTTGGGATGGAGGAAATACAAAGCAGCAAATGAGCTGTGATATGAGCGTGTGTGTGAATGTGTGAGTGCATGCACAGATGTAGCCATCACAGAAGTACAACTTTTTACAGCGTTTTTGCTCTATTCCATTAACTTTTATAGATTTATAGATAATCTGTATAACATTCAAGAAAGTCCCTCTTAAAATGGACTTTGCAGTTTAACATAGATTTAAGAAAGATGCAGAATGGTGAACTTCCATGATGACTATAACTCTGTGTGTTTGCGTGTACAGATATGCATATATGACCGAAAGTATGAATGCCAATCAGCATGCTTGACTCAAGATGTTTATTATTTTCCAATAAAAAATGGCTGTGGATACTCATATTTGATTCCAAACAATTATTTATTACCCTTTGGAGTGTGAAAACAGCCCCAATGGATCATTGATGAAAATATGTCTAAACACAAATTTAATGCTTCAAAATATGCATTTTATCAAATAAACTAGAAAGCTGAAATAAATTTTCCAAGCAATGCTGGAAATGGCTAAAATGCATTGCCTGAAAAATGAAAAAGCTGAAGATGAAAGATGAAAAAGCCAAAAGCTGAAAATACCAGGAAGCTGAAATCTGAAAGTGATAAATGGTGCCTGTAGCTGAAAGTATGCAGAAGTAGTTGAAAGTGGAGGTGATTGAAAGACATTTGAAGATTCTGTCCATGCACTTCAACTGTAAAAATGTCCTTAAAAAAGCTATATATATATAATAAGAAAAGTTAGAAAAAAAGCTGAATTTAAGCACAAATTCCCTGAATATTAGTGTGTGTGTGTGTGTGTGTGTGTGTGTGTGTGTGTGTGTGTGTGTGTGTGTGTGTGTGTGTGTGTGTATGTATGTATGTATGTGCACACGTGCGTGCATGTGCGTGCATGTGCGTGTATGTACGTACGTGTGCGTGTGTGTGTGTGCTTGTGTCGTGGAGGTAGAAATAGCATAATGTTAGACAGAACTACTGGTAGCACACAGCGAACCCCACTGAGGCCACTTAAGACACCTCACTTCATACTGCTGACATTTCTTCACCATGAGTTCAAGAGACATTGCTGAAGGTGTTGACTTTTCTATGTAGATAATGTCAGAAATAACTGCTATATCACAGTTTAAAAAGTACCTACATTTGTGCTTTTGCTGAAGAGTGGAAAGGTCATTTAACATTGAAGTCTATGGAGCAATTGAAGAGGTATCTTGTTGCTTAGAGGCAGAAAATTCTGTAAGTCCTACTGCTTAAATACCTCCATGTGTGAAAGAAGACAAATTTGCCTCCATTCTGGCAGAATATTATGTGTGACAGTGAAAATTTTGGGATTGAGAACAAGTTAAAGAGAAATTTATAGAAGAGTTGAGCTGCTTAACCACACTCTGTGTGAGAGGTCACATAATCTAGCTGTGAACATTCTGCCACATAGACACTAATGTAAAAATCTGGAGAGGAGTTGCAAAAGCAGGCAAACTTAGACTGTGATAATGCGGAGTAGGTTGAAGAGGATTTGAAGATTCAATCCATTAATTTCAATCGTAAAAAATTCTTGAAAAAAGCTGAATATTTAATCAGTAGAAAGGGTACGAGAAAAATATTCTTAAAGAGCAGAACATTTAAATATTTGAATGGTTTCTGTAGCTAAAAGGATGTAGAAGTAGTTAGTGACTGAAAAAACATACTGAAGAATAATAAAGAGCGACAATGACAATGCTGCATAAATCAGCATTCAAGTGCAATTGTATTGCAGCATAAGATTCATCTGCCTGCAGGATGGATCTTTGTTACAGCAGATTTATTAAATAAGACACAACGCAGGAACAGTTGTCTTGTCCTTTCAGCTCCTTGTGTACGTGTTCACCTAGACGCCGACAGAAATGTAGATGTGCCAAGATGCAGTCAGGCATCACCGCCTCCCAAACCCATAACTCTCTGTATTCAGACTCTGACCTAAGCCCATTTCATCCTCTACTGCTACTTAGCAGCACGCAAAGACACTCTTTCCTTGGTCTGTGTTCAGGTATTTGCCTAAAAACATAATGAAAAGGGCACATCCATCGACTTTATTTAGCTTCGGGAAACTTTGAAGGCTTTTTTCGGACTATTTATTACTTAAGAGTACAGATAAACCTTTGTCCCCCCTGCATCCCCTCCAGCTTCATTCTCTGAGATAAATCAAACCAGGAATGTTCTCTCTGACTTTATTGTCTGTCTTTTTGATGAGGTTTACTACACTGCCGCCTAAAGCAATGTGTAGCTCATTTTGGTAAGCTCATGTTTTAGAGGAAGTTCATTTTAAAAGCCTAGAGGTATAGAGAGAGGGTGTGCTGCTGCTACAGTACAGTCGCTGATCTGAGGAGCTACAGTAGGTTTATGGTGTGGATACACTTCATGCAGGCTTTTAGATTCTGTCTCAGGACTGTTTTTGTGTCTAAATTTGGGTGATTGCTGATGAGATTCCATGCTGACATTATCTAAATGATAGTCATTTTTAATAGTCATTTTCTCATAGACTGAACTCAGTTCATCAGGTCAGAGGCTGCGTTATTGCTGCTTTTTCAACTTTCTATGACTTCTCTTCTTGTTTTGGTCTTTCATCAGACAGCTGACACCAAACTGGATTAATTAGTTAGATATTTTCTGCTTCTGTCTCCCGCAGCCACTCCAAAGTAAATAATTCCACCAGCCAATTCACAGAATTATCATCCAATCAATCACTGCCTCCCGAATCTCCCAGTTGTCACAGCGGTCATTATTATTATTATTAATTGTCTGGGGTAGTGATTGTGAACATCTGTGTGTGGGATGCTCAATTCTCCACAGGCTGTCAGAATCCAGACCTCCTCTGGCCCCTAACTCCCTGGCTCATTCCCTTGCCAGCCTTCACTGCCTTCTCTCCTTCGCCTTTTGTCTTTTTTCTTTCCTTATCTCACAATTACGTTCACTCTCTCCACTGGAATTCTGTCTCTCACTCCTCTATCAAATTTGTTGCATGCATGCGCACATGCACACATAAACATATGTCAGCAACACAAAAGCCTGACTTGGCATCCAGGGAATTTTTTATTCTCTGCTACCTGGAGAGAGTACAAAGGTGCAAAGTAGAACTGTGCATGCCATGTGAGGGCTGTTTTACTTGCTGTTCACGTAGAAAAAAAAGACTATAATAAGCTTTTGGCATGAAGATGCAGCATTTGGACTTCTGCACATTGCATTTTAATTCAAATCATAAAACAAAGGTGGTCATGGGTAATTGCAATGAGACTATGACCAACAAAAATGAGAGATGGAAAAAAAGGATTTTATTAAACTCGACTGGAAAATAAAACATAAAATACTTCTGCAATCTATATTCTCAAGCCAAAACTTTCTTTACAAAATACATTTTAAACATCTGCATACAAATAAGTGCTGTATAAATAAAGTTTAAGTTAAATAAAAATAAATTGAGGTAAACCTTGATGCTATAAGCTGCTGGTTCCAATTACATATTTACCACAAAGATGTGAAATTTGTGTCAGTGTTCTCATCTTAATCTTGGTGAAAAAGCAAATACGTCCAAAAAATGTTGAACCTTTACTTTAAAGCAAAGTCAAAGATTTATTTGTGTCACATAAGTATGATATTTATTTACAGGGATCTGATTGAAAAATAATCATATGATTCAAAAAAATATACTAGGCTATTGTCACTGTTATGACTGACTCATTCAGAGACCTCACGGTCTTTGGCCATTTGATAAACAGCAATCCCTCCATCTTAAACTGCTCTAAGTATTGTACATCTAAAGGTTGGCAGTCCCACACCCCAATAGCTGTACACGCTGCTCTGTGAGAGCTGTGTTTCTCCAGCTCTAGTGGGCAGACAAAAGGTGAGTGGGCAGAGGGGAGCTGTGGCACAAGCACCATCTGTCTCGGCCAGCATGCTTCCACAGCTGTCCAGGGAGCAAAAGTTGAAAGTTCAGACACAGCCATCAATTCAACCAACCAGTTCGCTCCTAAGTAGCTATTGTTGCTCTTGCAGTACCAGACAGAATTTGTTTAGTCCCTGTGAGGCTTTCCGGTCCAGTGGAGGCAGTGCAGCAGTATGGCATGGAGCAACAGATCAGTAAACAGAGGGGATGTTGGCTGTGAAGTAAATGGCTCAGCAGGGTGTTGAAGAGCAGGCTGTAAGGCATAATGACCAAGCGGCAACCCACAGTGAACCGATTGTGTGTCTGTGGCCCAGAGCTGCTGTCATCTGGGTTCAAAGAGATTCGCTGGTAAAGCAGTGCTCTCTCAATTTAGTTTGTTAGCAGTGCAGTCAGACACTTGTCATCCTCACATCTATATATGGAAAACTGTCATGTTTGAATAATTTTGCAATATTAAATGAATACAAAGGATGGTCCAGTTGTAGTAAGCAATGCGCCATTGGACCCATCATCTCCTCTAAATATGGTCATTTTGTTCATTAAATGATAAATTGTGTTCTACTGTAGGCTTGAAGGGGCATTTGAGGCACTTTTTTGGACAAGAGACTCTAAAATCTAACTCTGATTGTCGACCATACCCACCAGACCCAGGCTTGTGTCGCAGACTTGTGCCTTGGTACCTGCTCTTGTGGGGTCTGTTGTGCATGAAAGGTTACCTTTGCACATTAAAATCAGTAACTATTGCAAATTCAAAATGAGGTTTCAATTTAGGCTTATATCTGTTGAAGGAGTAAGCTCACCATGCTGGTTAAAATTGGAGTGAGTTTATTGATGATGATGATATAGGTTTTAATTATGTTAGTATATTGTTGGTATAATGTCACTTAGGCACCTGGCACCAGTGTCTTTGCTATCTTCACATCACTGTGCTATGATGTTCTTCCTCTTGTAATGCCAGATAAACTAAACTAAAAAAAAACATTTTACAGATGTAGGTGGCAAAACTGGTTATCTGTCCTACAGTTTCGCATCAATCTAAGATCTATAAAACAAGCTATAACCTGAGATCCCGAGCTGCCTTTCTCTTAGAGTTCGGTCTTTGCTTTTGGGGTTGATTACACAACCTGTGTTATGATTTCATTACCATAAATTGTGAGTATGGCACCATACGCATATTTTCCATATTAAACAGTAGGGCTGTGTATTTTGGCTGCAGCTGAGGTGAGTGCACAGATTAGAGCTAATACTTTTCATCTGGCAGAAAAGTATATGATCTTTTCATTGGCCAGTCAAAGTATCTGGACAAGGATGGAGGAGCTAGAGATCTGACTGGACAGAGATGAGTTTGTGATCTCTTGATAATGATGCAGTGCATCACAGATGAATACATTTGCACTAGCTACTTTCACACCAAAAAA